CTTTGTTTGTCTGAAGGTGCATTAGGTCCATATACTCCAGTCAAAATCCAACTAAAACCATCAGATTTATTAGTGAAAAGGACAGAGATTGAGTACTCTCCTCTGTCTATTTCAGTACCTGAAACCTCCTCTTCACTCCAAGCTAGTATAATTCCCCCTGAGGCACCTAAAGCAGGAAGAAAAACCCATTTCTTGCCACGAATTCCCCAAATTGCTCTCAGCAGCTTCCTATCCACTTCTTTTTTTGTTTCTTGAAGGATGACTATATCTGGTTTTTCTCTTCTCAGAGTTTCCTTTACCAGACTTCTTTTTAGTTGKCCTCCCAACCCTCTAACATTCCAACTTAATAATTTCATTGAGCTCTTCTTGCTGATTTTCCCTTGACCGCCCTAGACCTTGTTGTTTTTCGATCTGACATTCCCCATTGAAGTCTCCTTAGCTCCCTTTTAGAGATCCTCTTGCCAATGGTCACAAATTCAGCCTTCTGGACTGCTTCTTCCCCCTTTTTTGAATCCTGATTGAGGGTAGGTTCCTTTTCTTTGCTTATCCCCAATTTCCTGGCCATTTCAGCAACTTCTCTTCCCAGATTATTGTCCCTTCTGTGTCTATCGGAACTGAGCTGCCTTTCTTCTGACTCTTTGTGGATACTTGGGTTAATGCACGGTTGGGAGAGGTCTCCGTTCAAACCTGAAAGACAAAGGGAAGAAGTGAGGTGAGAACCAGGATTTGGAGCAGGCAAAGAATGAAAGACAGGAGAAGTATAGGAGGGAGTAAGGGACACTCTGTTTCGAAGGCTAGATTCTCGTCTTCCATCTCTCTCTAGACTTGCTGGTTCACAATCTGTTCCGTACTCAGGGTGTACAAGGATTGTCTGCTCAAATATTTCCACACTGCCCCATGCTTCCTTTCCAGAGAACAGATCTTTAGCTCTTGAGAACACCACCTCCCTGGGGTCTGGTTCGACCTCTGTTTCGTAGGGACTTGTCTCTTCTTCTGATTCGGATTCGTCTGCCTTGAATAGAGGATGATCTTGGCTCTTCTGGAGATGACGGAGGCCTGAAAACCGCCCTGTTGTGTTTTCCTGAACTTGGGGGAGTTTCAGGCATCGGTTTGGTTAGAGAAGGTGGGGTCTCGGGTGGGCTTGGGTCTGGCAGAACTTCTTCCAATTTTGTCAGATGGGCTTTGGGGGAGATTCGGCCCAGCACTTGCGTCTGTACTGGGTCCAGTAAGGACTGTTTGGGGGCCGGCCCAAGTTCTGACTCAAATTTGAATTTTGAAAATGCTTTTCGAGAGGGGACCCGCCCTGCTTTTTCGGCTCCTCTTTTCAAGAGGCCTAGAAAGAGTTCTTTTGGGTAACTCTTTAGGTTTCTCCAAAAAGGCTTTTTCTGCTAGTTTCCTTCCTTCAAGCTTACGAAATAGCCCAGAAATAGTTTTTGTTCCTGCAGGGGCTTCAGCTCCTATTTTGGGAAGGGGGAGGTGAGTTGACTCGACGGGTTGGGGAGGAGACTCAGTCGTCTTCTCCACTTCGACTGGGAGGTAACCAGACTCCGCGCTCTAACAGAGGAATGGATCGAGGAATCGCATGAACACCACGGCTTCTAACCTTTATACGAGCGAAACTCAAGGTTGAAAGGTCTTTAGTTTTCCTGTCAATTTCCTCTAAGCCACCACACAAGCTTCCGATCAGGGTGAAGAGATCCTCAGTCCAGAGGTGGTAGGGTAGACCGTGGATTTTGAGCCAGCCATTAAAGATTAGGGAGTCTGGAGAGGCGTTGCTCATAGGAACCCACCGATCCAGAGAAACAGGTTTTCCGTACAGCTGGAATTCCTTTAAGCTAACCCACCTTAGCACTAGCTCCTCAGAAGGAGCAAAATCCACCGTCTATCAGCATCGATCGGGTGGAGACTTACTAGCTCATGAGAGTGGAGGTTTGCTGAGAGTCCTAGTGTCACTTCCCTCCAAGAAAGAGCTTCATGCTAAGTGCAAACAAACGCTCTCTTCCACAGACCGAAGGGTTTATCTTGGTGGATCACTGAAATAAAAGCAGACCCTCCTGCCTATACAACTTTGCTTTTTTTCTCAAGCTGAGGGAAAGAATTTACGGAGAGGTCAGGAGGGGTGGGATTTGCCTTTGGAGGGGATAGGGAGTTCAATACACTTTCGAATCTCATCCAACCTCCGCTAGAAGGCTCTTCAGGTAAACAAATGTTTTTCCATTTATAGTTTTTATCCAAACTGCTCAAGCGTATGAACCTTCCCCACTTATTTTCTTGGGTCTGAATGAGGAGGGTTCTACCCTGTTCAGATCGGTATTTGTCTTTGAGGTGTTGATTCGGGTCCCTGATAGCCTTTTGAATGAAGTTTCTCCACCACTTCACCTCGTCGAAAGTTAGTCAATCTTGTCCAAGCTCCTCTGCTTCTTTCCGTCACCTCTATCAAGCCATGTCCCTCTGTTTGAGTTTCCAGTTCGAAAGTCTTCGTGCCTATTGCTACTGTTGTCCTCCGAAGTTTTTTGTCCATGGGTTGATCGAGAGTTGGTTAGTCTTCGCGCCTATTGCTCTCCATAAGATCCAAGAATTACCACTTCGAACCTCATTATTGCTGCCCTCCACAAGAATTGGTTTCAGACTTTGAACCCCCTGATTTTCTGTGGGGGTGCTGGGCCCAACCAAATTGCTTTCACTATAAACTACAATCTTGAATAGAGGATTAATACTTGTATGGAGCTACTGATTGTTGAGATCTGTTGTCGCTGTTAGTTGTTGTTATCCTTCCAAATCTGGCTTGTTCCAGATTTCTACCGTCTGGCTGCAAAACCTTGCCACCGTCATCGCCCACACCTCTGTACCAACCCTCCTAATCAGCCAGCACACAAAAAACCCTAGCACCATTACTACGAAACCTTACACCTCTCTACAACCAACTAGTCAAAACTATTCCAACAATCACCACCACTATGAAACCCTACATAAAAACCCTAGCAAGAAACTACTCCGGCCACTGCTGACTGAACCCAAAAACCCCTTCCATGAAAACCACCCAAAGAAGGAAACAAGGCAAAAGAAAATAATGGAGAGGGAAAGAGCTCAATTTCAATGACTACTCTCCTGAATAAGGCTGAAAAATGGAAAGGGAAATGCTAGAAGAGAGGGATCGGTGGATCCACAAGAAGAAGCTTCTTGCAAGTGCGTAAATGGAATACAATCGATTCTCAGTGACAAATGGTCCAATGGAGGCAGTAGGTTTGCTGTAGTATTGGTGGAAAAGGGAAGAGGCCTCGTTGGTTCTCAAGCACCGAGCCTTCAATCAAGTGTTAGTCTTGAGTAGCGAGCCCTCAGATTTGATGATCTCACTGTCTGATCTACCACATGTTACATGGTGATTCACCTATAGTTTTTAAGGCGCCAAGGCGAGGCTAGGCGACAGGGGGGCGCCTTGTTGCCTAGTCGCCTAGGCGATGGATTTTTTTTTAAGTAAAACCATATATCCTAGGGTAGTTCCCTAGGTTCCATAACCATCTTTCCTTAATAATTATCCATAGTTTTCGTAAGAGAAGTATAAATTTCATGTTTTAAGTTTAGAAAATCAACATTTTATGAGAAGAAAAGGAACAAAGGAAAAAAAATTCAAAAAATGTAGGGGCTGAACCCCTACTTCTGTTATAGGAAAAGAAGAAAAGAAAAGGTGGAGGAAGAGGAAGATCTGTAAGAAGAAAATGTGTTGATTAGACAAAATTTTAAGCTCTTCCCTTGTTTATTGTTTTAGGTTCTGAAATCTTTGTGGATTCAATCAAGAATCAAAACTTTGATATGATACGCCCTGTATCAAGTGTATTGTATTGTATCTTTGGTGCCCCAATACACGTGTTCACAGGTGTTTTCGGAAACCCATTTTTTAAAATAATATATATATTTAAAAATGAAATTGAAAACCAAAGAAATAAAAAAATAGGGGTAGTATCGTTATAAGTACTGATACACCTCTGCCGATATACAGAGGTGTGTATTGATACTTTGAAGTTTGAACCATGGGTTCAATGCAGCAGTTAGCAATGTTTGTGTTGATTAAACCCTAACAAATAAGAAAATAATAAAAAGAAATTAGTACAGAAACACATAAAATGAGTATTCTAGTTTAATAATGCCTATTTTATAATTATAATGTCAAAAATAAAAAATATAAAAGTATTTTATAAAATAGTGCACAAAACTACTTGGCGACTGGGTGAGGCGAGCCTCCAAGGTGCCTTGTCGCCTAGGTGTTGCCTTGACAACTATGGTCGCTTCTTTGAACGGTGAGGTGTGTATTGATTATTTACACGCTCAAATAATGTGTTAAGTGTGAATCTGACCCACACGCTCACTTATAAGAAACTCATGTAGATTCCATTCCATGAATGAAAAGATTCCATTTCACGAAAGGAGAGAAACTGTCTGTATGCCCTTTTGTTGTTAGGTTATATATGTAGATGTGTCATAACTGAAAATAAATGTTTTAGATTGATGTGCAGTTGTACTGCTATTCCTTGATTTCCACTTCCCTTCTCCCTTAATTCTCTTAGCCCCCAGTTTGGGAGTGCTTATTTTTAAGCGCTTATTGGAATAAGAACTTATTTGAGGCTGGGTTCACACCAGCAAGCATTTATTAGCATTTGGTAAATAAGCCCCAGTAAATGCTTATTCATGGAAATAGGCCCGTTTTGAATAAGCACCTGTCTTGGCCTGCCACATATTTTATAAAATACCTACCCTACCCCTCCTATTTGAAAGAACCACTTTTTCCCTAAACACTGGTAAGTGCTTATTTGAATAAGCACTTATTTTAACAATAAGCACTCTCAAACTGGAGCTTATTCTTGTAAGTTGTTAAAAATGTAGGAATTCTTGCAAGCAAACACTAGACTAGTTGACTTGAGTGTCATTTGCTAGACTGCTGCAGCCTTATTAGCAGGGTTGATTTATAATTCAAATAATACTGGCTCTTGGTTTTACTTTTCCAGGTTGCTAGTTGGATGAGTGCTGAAAGCGAACCTCCAGTCATCAAATGGGCTCCAGGGAGCCTTGTGTTTGTAACTGGATCTTCTGAATTATCATTTTTTGTTCCAGATTTGTCAAAACTGGGATCTTATGTTGGAACAAAGTAGGATAACCTTTATGAGAGCAATCGGCAGATTGCTTGTGTATGAATTTGTTATGAGCAAGATATAAGTAATTCTAATAGGCTTTCCAACCGTTTTACTGACTGTTGACTGTGCTGCAAGGTGCAATGAGCTAGCTGATTTAGGGCATATGAGTATCAATATTAGATCTTATGCATTGAAGGTTTTTTGCTTTGACACTTTTTATCTCCCTATAAATGGATGGATGCCTACACAGATTTTTCCTGACTTACCGGTTCTATTGTCTATTGGTTATTATTTCACCCCCATCAAGAAGCCGACACTGAAGAAGAGAAGAAATTCAGGTTCCGATTGTAACTAGTCTTCCACCTTTCTCATTTCTTTGTTTTCATTAGTAATCTCTAGCCTTGTGGGATTTCTAGTTGTGTTTATGTTGAGGAACATTTGAGCCATGAAAGTGGATATATGTTTTCTAAAACCACTATTTGGATTAACAAAGAAAATGTAAACCTCTGACCACACATCAGGAGAGGCGACGGTTGTAGACATTCTCCACCAAACAAGAGGGAATATAGAACAATTGATTTCCCCACGTCCCGTCCCCTTTTTCATTCGACAACCAGTATTGGAAGAATAAATATCAGTTTTTTTTTGTTGTTTTCCTGCCATTAAAGTAAGTAGTCGTTCAAACATTTTCTGATCACATATAAAAAAGGAAAAATAACTTGCAGAAAACTCTTCTCTGGGTTTTCAATATAAATAAATAGTCCCTCTCTGCTTTCAGAAAGATGTTAATAGCCTACTTGAATTGCAACAATATCTGGTTCAACTCAACAAGAACTCGGCAAAGAGGACAAGTCACCTGTTGTTTCGTCAGCCATCGACTGATGCAGGACTCGTGGAATTTATGGTTGCATTCAGGAAGCACCCAACGCGACTCACCCTCTTTTGTTTCTTCCAAGCAAATTGGGCATTCCGAATTCGTTAAACCTGCCGGGTCCTCGGCATTATTACGGTGAGCTCTCCCTCTATCCAAGAAGTACACGACGATGCGTGCAGTAAATAAGAAAATAGCCAGAATGCATATAAAATCTCTACAGTAATCAGGCGGAGATGAATGGAAACTAGTAGCAGGAATTGTTTGACAACAAAGGGACTGGTGAGAACATGCTTATTAATTCATGAACTGAAATCTGAAATATTATCAGTTCACTCCATTGACGTTCATATGTTATTTTATCTATGAACTGGGTGGGTATTAGATTTGGACTGGGAAAATAATAGAAAAAGGAAAGAATTTCTATTTTCAGTAGCGAAATCTTACTGGTGTGAGTTGCCATCCAATAAAAGAAACTACTACTACTGCTACTAGCTCCTTAGTATGGGTGGTGGTTGATAAAATTGCATCAATTACCAATGTAAAGTGATTGCTTAAGCTTAACCCAAAACAATTTCGTCTCAATATTATATAACGAGAGTTTTAGTTGATTCCCTATCAGTTGATTCGCTGTGATGATTGTTCTTGAGTAATATCTGCAAGGGGTGGATAGATGCTCAGGACTCTGGGATGAAAATCCTTCCCTCGTTCTTTTTGCTCAGACCTGATGCCTGTGGTTGAGGATTCAACTGGGGTTTCAAAACGAGTGCAATATTAGTTACAATCATATATTAAAATTTTAATGTAAATTTTTTATTACAATCATAAATCAATTTTAAAATTAAAAGTTAATGTAATTTTTATTAATTAATTTTAAAATAATTACAACCATATATTAATTGTACTTTCAAATTTATCAACTGCCTACCCATAAAAATTTAAAAAGAACTAAAACAAGAAGATGAGAGTGGGAGCAAACAAAAAAAGAAAAGAGAAGAAACAGGAGATAAATCATTGCTCTTAAATCTTGACGCTTCTACTTCGTACATAAATGATTGCTTTTAAGAAATGCACATGCATTGACCTTCTACCAATCCTATCTTCCTTGGTTGCTCTTCTTCTTCTTGTTCTCACTTGTGAGATAGCTTTGCAAGCCACAACTGTGATAGGGGCCGTTCCTTTGTTCTGCATTGCACAGGATTCGGATTCCAATTATATGGTTCCCATTAAATCTAATTGATCATAACCCACTACGTGATTATAGCCTTGTTAATCTCGAGTGGGGCCGAATCAATCAAGGTTCCCAATCCATTCATAAGGTGACACGTGCCCACCCCTTATGCTAATAACATGATTTTATAAGTGGTTTTGTTTTAACTTTACTAGTTATACTTTATTTTAAGTTGGTAGCTAGTACCTCCTAATTCACGGGCTGGGTTCAGGTTGGACTTTGCCTCTATATCAGTAAAACCTGTTCAGAATTAAGCCCGAATCTGGTCTAAATCTTGAGCCCAAACCCAATTCTCGTTTGAAACAAGTTAAAGAAAAAGTCTTTAATTTACTGATTAGATCAGCCAAGTCCACCAAAACAATTTTAATTCAAAACACTAAAGTGATTCGGGACATTTTGGATTTACGGCCTTGATTAAAGCAATCTTGCCTGTTTATGAAAGATTGCCTTGAGTGCCAATTTGCCATGTATGTAACCCATGCGCTTATAGTGGAGTCTGGATTTCCTCACACAGTCACACCACCTCACATCATGTATCAGTCGTACATTGGGAATATCTTCCATACTTGTATATTATTATTATTATTCATGGGAGATGTTTCTAATACACAGCAGAATGTAGCTGTGAGGTAGGTATGAAGAGCAGATCCCAATTCAAAATTAGGAATGGCAACAGGTAGGGTATCTGCAAAAGTTGCCCTTCCCATTCTCAAGTTCATCAAAGCACCCTTGATCTTAGACCTATTTAATTTTTTCTCCCAATTTCTTAAACCCATCACATACCAAATCCATCATCACATAAGTGAATTGTGATGTCTCTTTTAAACAAAAATGGAGTAGCTAGTGGTGAAGACGCCCTATATGGGGATCCAAGAAAAAGGATTTGAATCCTCTTTAATTCTTAATATATGCATAGGTTTATAATTAATAATGGGAGTGGATACCTATGTAAAATATAATTGAGTTTAGTTATGGGGAGTCCAAGGCAAGGTTCAAAATATCGATACGTCGGTAGGGGCGTATTGGGCATTTTGATACTTGTTTTTTTACTTTTTATTTTATTTTATTTTTCAAAACTGGTTCAGGAGAGCCGGTCTAGGACCCCTCCATCCCTTGAACCGGTCAGACCCCCAATACACCCACTGTAGGGGCGTATCAAAAGAGTCCCGGAGTGATACGTATCGGCCGGTACGCGCCAATACGTAACGATATGAACCTTGATCCAAGGACAAGGTCCAAACCTGTCCTGTATCTGTGCATCCTAACAGGGTTTTGACAAGCAGGTCTTATTATGATCAGGATGGGTTATGTGCACACAAATTCCTACAAAAATTGGCATTCCAAAGGCAAGGACCATATCATAAATTCTCACGTTTAACACAAGTGCAATTTGATACAATAGATTCCAAATTGAGCTTTGAGATAGGTTAGACTGTCAGATGGGCTCGGTGGAGAAAAATTGAGCTTGATCTAAACTCATGTAGGGTTTGGGTAGCCCAAGCCTCAACAGACCTTTTTCTTTTCTTTTCTTTTTTTTTTTAGCTTCATGGCCAGGCCAGAACTAGGGGTGTTCAAATTCGGTTGTCAAACTGAAAATCAAACAGAATCAAACCGAATAAGCTAATTCAGTTTGGTTGTTTTGGTTTTTGGTTCGGTTCGGTTTTAAGATTTTAAAAATTTTGACTTATGGTTTTCAGTTTGATTTGAGAAAAAAAATTCAACCGAACTGAACCAAAAACTGAATTAAGAAAAATCAATACATATATTCATATTTTAATTATAAATATTCATATTAATAATAACATTACTATTCATATTAATAATAATATATAATATATATTTTAATTATAAATGTTGATATATTTTAATAATAATTATTAATATAAATATAAAATATATTTATATCTTAACTAACCAAATTAGCCAAGTTAAAACCGAATTAAACTGATTTAAATTTGATTCAGATTGGTTCGATTTCAACTTTAATTTGGTTCGGTTCGATTAATGAAAATGACCTAATCGAAGTATTGGTTAGGTTCTATTTCTAAACCGAACTGACCAAATGAACACCCCTAACCTGAACAAACATAATCGAAGCCTACAACATCTATAATATGTACCCACATTTTGCACTATATAATTTGTATTACCTCTAATGCGTATATTATATCTTTATATTATTAATTATTTGCATTTACAATAGTTATGTGGTCAACCTGTGCCTAGAAGTGGCCAGGCTTCTTCAATCTTCACACCCCTTTTACGTGCATCCCGATGAATTGGAGATAAAGATTGTATACACCCGGTTGGGCTACCTATTACCAGTGAATACCTTCGTGTTTAGTATAGATCGGGGACTCGTATGCTCACTCGTGAATCGTGATGGTGTATTCAATCTTGTCTCCAGTTAATCTGACTTCTTTTTACGTGCCAATTATCTTATGATGTGGTCTTACACACAAACTCTATGTCTATCCACATTACATTACAGTCATAAGTGGAGAACATTTTATTCTTTTACATAATATTATATAGGGGGAGATGTTTCCAATTTACAGGGTAGTGTGTTGTGAGACTCCGAATCTCCTGTCTACGAGAATTTTGCCCACGCCTACCCACAATACACCACTCCCGTGAATTGGGAATATCTCCCCCTGTATACTACTATGCCGAGGATGAAATGTTTTTCATGTATGACTATGATAAATGTGAGCAGGTTTCTCATGGACAGAAGATTCGGACTCGTGTCGTGAGTAGACGTGGACAGAATTCTCGTGGGCAGGAGATCCCAAATCTACTATAAAGCACTTTCACATGAGCAGGTACTTAGTTGGGAGCAAATATCAGCTGGTTGGAGAACATTCAACGACGCCCGGTGATTATTGATCACATCACGTCAAACCGATACCTGATTAACACACTGGCGTGTTTAAAAATATCACTGGGACTCCAATTCCTGGAAATTCTCGTAGTCTACATATTTTGTGTAAAAATATCCAAACAATGCAATCAATCCATGGCAAGATTTATAAGAAAAAAAAACTTTAAACATAAATGGGTCGTCATCTTCACTAACTTAAATGAATCCTTCTTCTAAAATCTGTGCTCACCGTAATGTTGTTGATAGTTACAATGGAGAGACTAGTTTCTTCACAAAAAAG